CAATAACAAAAATAACATCAATAACAACAATAACAACACACACCAACAGCAACAGCAACAACATCAACAACAACAATCAGTATAAGGCTGTTCGCTCTTACTTGCCCGTGTGTCATTCCAAACGGGTTCCCCACACCCTCGATACCCACCCTTTTTGTCCTCGATCAAACCGCCTTTGGGGGGATTATTTCTCTTTACAGAGTGCGGCGGGCTTAGACAGGCGGGGAAACCTGAACGGGCGGACAATCCCTCGTGGGCGTACATGTGCTCGCCATTGGAAGTGGTGTGGGCCCTGCAAAAAAAGGAGGGGGAGAACGAAGGAGAGTGGGAGGAAGGGAGGGGGAGGGACGAAGGAAGAGGGAAAACACCAGGAGAGAAGGAGCGAAGAGGGGGCTGTTGATTAGAGGCAGAGAGAGAGAGAGAAAGACAGATAAGAAAGGTAGAGAAAGTGAGAGAGAGAGAGAGAAAAAAAAAACAAAAAAAAAAAAAAAAAAAAAAAAAAGGCGAGAGAGAGAGAGAGAAAAAGAAAGAAAGAAAGAAAGAAAGAGGGAGGGAGGAGGCAGGAGAGGGGAGGGAGAAGGGAGGAGGGAGAGGAGGGAGAGGGGATAGGGCAGAGAGACATAAGGATGAGGGAAGAGAGGAGGGAAAGAGAAGGGAGGAGAGGAGGGAGGAGGAAGGAGGGAGAGGGCGGAGGAGCAGGAAGGTAAGAGCGTGAACGTTCGAGGAAGTCCTAGGCGAAAGCTCGGTTTCTGAAGGAAGTCTCGGGCGGGAGCCCACGACGGGCGGGCGATCCCCTGACGGGCAGGTCGGGCGGGTGAAATGGCCCGCCCTACCGACCCGTCTCGGGATGTAAGAAGAAGGAATTACTGTAAAGAGAAAGGATGGAGAAGCAGGAGGACAAGGAAGAGGAGAAAGAGGACAGGGAAGTGGAGGAGGAGGAGGTGGAGGACGAGGAGGGGGGGGGAAGAGGAGGAGGAGGAGGAGATAGAAGGGACGGAGGAGGAGGTGTAGGAGGGGGAGGAAGAGAACGTGAGGAGGGGAAGAAAGAGGAGGTGGAGGAGAAGGACGAGGAGGAGGAGGAGCAGGAGGAGGAAGAGGAGAAGAAAAAAAGGAAAGAGCGAAAGGAGGGATGAGGGATGGATTTCGGATATCTGCCGTGGAATGGGGAGGGGGGCAAAGCGGCCAAACCTGCCTTCTCGGAGGCGACGCTGGGGGCGAACAGCCCAGGGGCGGGCCTCACGTGCATTCGCCGGGATCCCCGCCGAAGAAACACGGAGCATGGGCGCCCACGGGCACGTACACAGTCCACACGTGCGATGAGGAGCACGATAAGGACGCAAAGGCCTTGGAGGACCACGCAAACGTTTTTTCCGAACGAGGCTGGCCAGCGAAAGTCGCTAAGGATGGACGGAAGGGGCAGGGATGCAAGAGTACCCTTAGAAAATTGGTCACCCTTACAATGCGTGTTGACTGCACGGCTCAACCCAGGGCGGTTCGCCCCCGTCATCGCCTTCGACCCTCGGCCGCTGGGGACGACGACGGCGGCGGCCCTGGCGGGGCGGAGCCCGGAAGAAGAGACCGCATGATACAAGAGCCTTCGGAGGTCCTCCTCCTCCTCCCCTGCCCCTGCTCCTGCTCCTGATCCTCCTCCTCCTCCTCCTCCTCCTCCTCCTCCTCCTCCTCCCTTTCCACCTCCTCCTCCTCCTCCTCCTTCCCCTCCTCCTCCTCCTCATCTCCCTCTCCTCCTCCTGCTCCTCCTCCCCTCCTCTCCTCCCTCCTCCTCCTCCTCCTCTCTCCCTCCGTCCCTGCTCCCTCCTCCTCCTCCTCTTCCTCCTCCTCCTCCTCTCTCCTCCCTCTCTTCCTCCTCCTCCTTTCTCCTCCTCCCTCCTCCTCCTCCTCCTCTCCTCTCACCTCCTCCTGCCCCTGCCCCTGCCCCTGCTCCGGTTCCTCATCCTCCTCCTCTCCTCCTCCTCCTCCTCCTCCTTCCTCCTCCCTTCCCACCCTCCTCCTCTCCTCCTCCTCCTCCTCCTCCTCCTCCTCCTCCCTCATCCTCTCCTCCTTCCTCCCCCTCCTCCTCCTCCTCAGCCAGCAGCAGCAGCAAAGCATAATCATCATATCATCATCATCATTCATCATCATCATCATCATCATCATCATCATCATCATCATCATCATCATCATCATCATCATCATCTCATCATCATCATCATCATCATCATCATCATCATCATCATCATCATCATCATCATCATCATCATCATCATCATCATCATCATCATCATCATCATCATCATCGTCATCATCGTCATCATCATCATTATCATCATCATCATAAAAATCATCATCATCATCATCAGCAGCATCATCATCATCATCATCATCATCGTCATCATCAGCAGCATCATCAGCATCGTCAGAATCACCATAATCATCATCCTCATCATCATCATCATCATCATGATCATCATCGTCATCAGCAGCAGCAGCAGCATCATCAGCATCATCATCATAATCATAATCACAATCAGCATGATCCTCATCATCATCATCATCATCATCATCATCATCAGCATCATCATCATCCATCATCATGCATCATCATCAGCATCGTCATCATCATCATAATCATGGTCATCATCATCATCAACATCATCATCAGCAGCAGCAGCATAATGATCATCATCATAATCAGCCTCATGATAATAAGAATTAGAATTATCATGATCATCATCATCATCAGCAGCAACAGCAGCATCATCATCATCATCATCATCATCAACATCATCATCATCATCATCATCAGCATCATCATCAGCATCAGCATCATCATCATCAGCATTATCAGCATCCTCATCCTCACCCTCATCCTCATCATCATCATCACCACCACCACCGTCATCATCATCATCATCAGCAGCATCAGCATCAGCAGCATCAGCATCATCATCAGCAGCATCGTCAACATCATCATCATCATCATCATCATCATCATCAGCATCATCATCAGCATCATCAATTGCATCATCACCAGCAGCATCATCATCAGCATAATTATCATCATCATCATCATCATCATCATCATCATCAACCTCATCATCATCAGCATCATCGGCATCATCAGCAGCATCATCAGCATCATCATAATCATAACCATAATCAGCATCATCATCATCAGCAGCATCATCATCAGCATCAGCATCAGCATCATCATAATCATACTCATCATCATCATCGTCATCATCATCGTTGTCGTCGTCATCATTAACATCATCAGCATTTCCATCATCAGCATCATCATCATCAGCATCATTATCATCGTCATCATCAGCAGCATCTGCATCATGATCAGAGTAAGCATCCTCATCATCATCAGCCGCATTATCATCATCAACAACAGCATCAGAATCATCATCATCATCATCATCATCAGCATCAGCATCAGCATCAGCATCAGCATCATCATCATCATCCTCATCCACATCATCATCGTCCTCAGCATCATCCTCATCCTCATCGTGATCGTCATCACCATCAGCATCATCATCAGCATCATAATCATCATCATCAGCATCATCACCATCATCATCATCAGCAGCAGCAGCATCATCAGCATCATCAGCATCCTCCTCCTCCTCCTCCTCCTCCTCCTCCTGCTCCTGCTCCTGCTCCTGCTCCTTCTCCTCCTCCTCCCCCTCCTCCTCCTCCTTCTTTTTCTCCCTCTCCCTCTCCGTCTCCTCCTCCTGCTCCTGCTCCTCCTCCTCCTCCTCCTCATCTTCCTCCTCCTCCCCCTCCTGCTCCTCATCCTCCTCATCCTCCTCCTCCTCCCCATCCTCCGCATCCCCTGCATCCTCCTCCTCCTCCTCCTCCTCCTCCTCCTCTGCGTGGTTCTCTTGGCCAGGCGCTAACCAACCTCCCTGGCGCGCGAAGCGCGCCGGGAAGGGAGGCCCAGGCGCCGACCCAAGGGACCCGCGCGGAACTCGGAAAAGGTTTACGCTTCTGCCATTTCGCTCTTGATCCTCGAGGGCAGGAGGAGGAGGACGACGAGGAGGAGAAGGAAGAGGTGAAGAGAAAGAGAGGGAGGAGGACCACGAGGAGGAGGAGAAGGAGGACGAGAGCGAGAAGGAGAAGGAGGAGGAGGAGGAGGAGGAGGGGGAGGCGATGGAGGAGGAGGAAATGGACGAGGAGGAGAAGGAGGAGGAGGAGGAGGAGGAGATGGAGGAGGATGAGGAGGAGGATGAGAAGGAGGAGGAGGAGGCATCCTTGGGTAGTCGGGGGGAGGGCGTCAGGATGCCCACGCCGCCCGTCTTCGCCGCGGAGCGGTCACGCCGCGTGGCGCCCCGCACGCTCGGGAGAGGCGAAAGTCCAATTGAAGTCCCTCCGTATCGAGCTCGCTCCAACTGGACTCAGAGTTGCCCTCGAGGTGGCTAGGTCCAGTTGGAGCCCCTTGGCTCGAACTCGACTCAATCCAGCTGGACTCAGTGTCGGCCGACCCCCCGACAACCCCCCCCCTCCTGGGCCGGCCGCATGAGGCCGACAGGACAGGCGAAGCATGCCATGCCACGGGCGTCGTCGGTGTCGTCGTCACCATAAGATTCATCACTGGCACCACCAACATCATCCTCATCATCAACCTCGTCGTCCTCATCATTATCGTCATCGTCGTCATCATCGTCATCATCGGCATCATCGTCATCGCCGTCGAAAACATTCAAAACCACCACTACTCATTACCATCGTCAATCGTCGCAACCGTAGACACCACCGATCTCGCCACACTGGTCATCACCATCGCCGCCGCACATGTTAATAATGTATGTATGTGTATATATACACTCCTCGCCACCGTCGACTTCGGCACCGACGGCGCCATCAGCACACAACTGCCGTCTCCATCCGTCACCATGCATCATCATCCGCGTCCTGCGCCCCGTCTGCGTGACGTGCTACCCCCAGCCCTTTCCCACCCCCCCGCCCGGTGAGCGAACGACGAGGGCCCGCGC